GAAAAATAAATCCTGGCCTTATCAGCAGTACTACGTGGGCAAAAGAGATAGCGAAGGAAGAAGAAATGGTGACGGCGAGAACCACTGGACTGGAGCGAAGGTTTTATCTGTGCTACGTATTATCCCATATATTAATAGCTTGTAGCCTTGCTGAACATTAATATTACCATGAACTTACGAAAGCTAACTACTATTCTATTATTATATTACTACATATTAATATTAATACTACTAAAAAGATTATCATTACTTGTTTTGTGTTCGAAAGATATCCTCTGTCACGCTAATAGTCCCAAGTAAAATTTTGCTACAATCCACTGTTAATTTCAGAAGAAATTTAAGCTGATGTTTATTAATTAAAATAGTATCATTCATTAATTCATTACTGTCCTTCACAAGTCCACTGCTGAACTTAAGCCTCCACCAAAAAATGTCACAAAGCACGGTCCTGAGCCACCTGCTTCCATCGACTTCCTGCATGTCTTATCAAGTTGTCACTCCATCTAGTGGGCTGTCTACTACTCTATGGCACTGCCCCTCAAAAATATTTCTTCCCACTCGGCTGTGGGTTCTTCGAGAAACCTCGAACATAGCCCTCTCCAAAGCTTTTTGAACGACCTTGAGCTTCCTCATACGGCTAGCATAAAGGACCAGGCTTCAGATCCGTAAGTCATCACTGGCAACACGCGCTGGTTGTACAATATTGTTTTCAAGTTTTGAGTTATAACTTTAGAGAAGATATTTCGTAATCTCCCGAAAGCTTTCCAGCCGAGTTGAATCTGTCGATTCCAACTACTTTTCCCAAGTGTCCCAACATACTCGTCAACAACTTCGAGCTTAGTGCTCCCAAGAACTAGGTAGCATAGGTGTAACATGAACGTTACACATGATCTTTGTTGTGTGCATGTTAATTTTAAAACTCATTCGTTGGGAAGCACTATTGAGGTCATTGCGCATACTACATAGGTCCTCCAGCGATTGTGCCATAAGTATAATATCTGCGGCAAATCGAAGGTGAATCACGTATTTGGTTTTGATATTAATTCCGTATCCTTTCCTGTCCAGTAGCGTGAAAACGTCTTACAATGTATCAGTGAAGAGTTACGGGGATTAACGTCACCCTGTCTTACACACACACACTTCGATATACCGACAGTTTACTTGGCATGGCTGAAGGGACTGTAGCACTGCCCAAATTTCGACCGAATCAAAAGCTTTCTCATAGTCCACATACGCAAGCCAAAGTGGCAGATTGTACTCTTCGGCCTTCTGTATAATTTTCCGAAGGGTATATATGTGGCCTATGGTGCTAAAGTCTTTTCGGAAACCGGCTTGTTCGGGAGGCTGGAAGTCTGGAAGATTAGTAATGACTCTCGAAAACAGAACGTAGACGCGGCTCAGAAGGAAAATCGGTCTGAAGTTCTTCAAGAAATTATTGTCACCTTTCTTGACGAACAAGACCACCGCACTTCTGCTCCACGCCTCCGGAGTAGTCCCACCATGGAAGACGAAATTAAAGAGCTTCTGAAGACGGTTTTCCATCCGCTTTCAGAACTAACCGACGGCCTTGCCGTTTTTAAGATATATATTCAATCTCACTCATACTGACATCTGGGAGATCAAGAAATATTGTCGGATAAAATTTTCGGATCGTTACTCACACTTTCGTGCGGCTCCAATGATGACGTGTACAGCTGCCCGTAGAACCTCTCAATATCACTTAAAATCCCAGGTGTCCTAGAAACGATGCTACACGTTCGGTCTTCAGCTTTGACATTTGGCTCCTTCTGGCAGACAGAACTTTAACAAAGGTTATATTTATTTATTTGTTTATTCTTCATTGTAATACCTTACAACTAAGGTAACATTGATCGAACTCAATGCCTGTCGGTATTCTCTGCCGGTCAACCCGTAATGTGGTGAGCTATAATGGCAGGTGTAAACTTCCTTTATGATCTGTGGAAAAAATAAATTAGAATATTTATACAGGTAATGTATGTCAATTTAAACTATATATATATATATATATATATATATATATATATATATATATATATATATATATATATACCAACCTATCATATATATACGTATATACATACGTACCATAATTATTATACAACTCACATATCATGAAACTTTATCTTGTTTCAAAATGTTCATGAATTAATTTCTTGAATGAGTACTTGCTTGGAGCATTTCGTATGTCTTCAGTTAAGGAATTCAAGAGTAGAGTAGCCTGAATAGTAAAGGATTTCCTGGAGAATCCAGTGAAATGAATTCTGTTATGAGGTGAAAAAAGAAATTGAAATCTTTCCTTAGGGTATAAAGGAGAAGCTGACTTGTTTAATATAGAAAAAAGAACAAGCAGAATTCTAAAGTTGCGTTTCTGTTTGACAACGATAAAGAGAAACATGATCATATTTTTGATATACTGTATATTGGTTATCATGAATCTACTTATTTCATCATAGCCTTGGAGTTGATTACAAGAGCGGCTTTTTTAAGGTCGTCCTGGCTCACAGGAGGGAAATGGAAGACTGTTATTCGCCGTGACCGTAGCGATGTTAGGTACTATATAGTCTGAGATCGGATTGTAGGGTCCAGTGCCGTAGCAGAAGCAAAATGGATATCATCACAAGAGATGAACGGACCATTATCCATAATAGGTGGTTTATCCACACCAATTGAACTTAGAACTAACTATGTAGTTATGGATGTAATGACTTTTGGCGTTGCGTACCATCTGATCGCATCTTATCCTCGTTATTTTGTAGGATGTTCAATCATCATCTCTACGTTCTCTTTTAAAACGGAGTAAGGCCCCATTCCGACTTTTCGTTGTAATCCGTACACCCTCTGTCATCCAAGAACACGGAAGATGCTTGAGTCTAACATTACGTACAGTAGCAAAAGCATCATACTAGCTTAGAATTACGCCATTGAGATAAAATACCATGTCATCAATATTTATTGTAGCAATTGCTAGGGAATCAAAATTTAAATCAGCAGCGTCACTCTTAAGCCGATCCATGTTTAGCCTAGCGAAATTGCGTAAATGTAGAATAACTGGACTATGTTTAGGAGGTTTCACGTTGTAGGAAACGAAAATAAGATCATGACGTGAGAAACCTGAAGCAGGTAGCTGACCATGCGTTACCACATTATCAGATGAAGCAGTAGTTATAAGATCAATTCAAGAGTCATTAGTGTCGATATTATGATGCGTAGCCTGTAAGAGAGGAATGAAAAGACTAAACGACTCAATGATTAAAAGAAGTTTCTGAGAACGGCAAGAATTGGTTAACAGATCGGTATTAAAATCAGCCATGATAATGTAATGATTGCACCCAGCAACCACATTGTCAAAAGCACTGTCAAAAGTGGTAAAGTAATCGATAGAAGGAGGACAATACACTACTCCAAGAATCACCCTTGTGCCTTTGACACACAGCTCCAAAAACAAAAATTCCGGGGAAGCCGAATAAAGTGAAGTTGATGCTAATCTTATACGCTATTGACGAGTGCAAGTACATGGCATCACCGCCCCCTCCCTTACCGACTCGATCATTTCTGATGAGTACAAAACCAGAACGGGGATACAATGCTGAATGCAAACATGGCTTCAGCCAACATTCGGATATTAAGATAGCATGAATAAATTGAAATGTTGTTTCGAACTCCGAAAAGTGACACGGAATTATTTGAGCATTTCTATGACAAATTTTAAAAAAAATAGCGCCGGACGGAAAGGATTCAATTAATTTTACATAAGTTAAACGATTAGAATGAAAGATCCTGAGCTGTTAACTGAATAGAATAACTCATTTTCAGCCATAATAATATACAAAAAATATATGTAAAATAAATAAATAAATATTATAAGTAAATATATCAAAACATAATAATAATTACACATTATCAAACATTAATAATAATATTAACAATAACATATAATACCGTAGAACATCATTCTGCCAGTTGACTGTTAACACGTTACAGTAAATCTAAGAGATTAATGCTTTAAGCTAAACGTAGTCAAATTGCTAATAACAGTAACCATCTAAAAACTTAAACAAGTGACAAAATAAGGTAACTTAAAGACATTATAATGTGCCTAGATTAAAAATAAATTTAATTTTCAACTTAGTCTTAAAACTTTAACAACAGTAAAAAAAATATAGTAAAAAGAAAAATGTTAATTCTCTAACCCTAGCAATATAGATTTTACTAAATAAAGTACTTAATATTGTATCCAAACTGCTTAAATATACAAATCATTACCAACACTGTACGTTTTAAGAGTTCTTCAATACAAAACAGTATCATCATTATTAGGTATATATTAAGTGGTATTTACTAACAAAATGCCCTACAGTTTGACGAATGTAGTATAAAATACAGTGAACTGTATTTTTGGTGATATGTAAATCTAAAAAAGGCCTGTGCTCTGCTGTGGGGCGTATATAGGCGTTTATACGTGGTAGAGCCATGCTGCAGTTATATTAGTAGTATAGTTGTAGCATGAATGGGTCGGCTCGACCGGGGAAGGACCACGCTCTCACAGAATACCAGCGTGAAATAGTAGCTTAATGCTGCTGTATTTCGTATGGTGAGTGTAGAGAACCGGAGCCCCTTTTTACTGGAAACGAGGCATTCCATCTCAGTCCTCACGGGTGACAACGCATCTGCATTTTGATTTTTAATGGAGGATAGATGTAGACGTCTATGGGCCGCAGCAACCACTTACCATCAGGTGGACTGTGTGCTCGTTTGTCACCCTATTCTATAAAAAAAAAACTTTATTTTAACTATTTAATATACAGTTGTTGTGGATAACGGATGATGATAGATAGGGATTCAATTTTTATTTCATCTTTGAATTTAATTTTTCAAATTTAAAATAATCACATATATTCGGTAGTAATCTGAAATACCACGAACCTAACGCGTACTTCTAGTCGTTGGAGTGGTATTGCGGCCGATTATTGCGCGACACAATGCACGGCGTTGGCGAATATTTCTGGCGATATATTGATCGCGAAGGTGCTTTTGTGTCCTACGAGGGTCACTTCTACTGCAATCAAATGCATGGTTATGGAACTATGTCATACGCTGACGGCCGAGTGTTTGAAGTAAGTATGTTAAGTCATTGGTCAGATTCCTTACCAAATAAGTCGTGAGTACTGATTAGAATCGATAATTGACAGAATCAGGCGTTACTTTGCCGAAATCCATTATAATAAAAAATAAAAATATCAATTTCCTCGCAACCTTCCGCTAAATAATAGTTATGGTAGTATTTAGCGGGAGGTTGCGAGGAAATTTAGATTAGAATCGACTTGTTTCTCTTATTCATCAGACCTTTAAAGTTCATTGCTGGTCCTTCATATATCGCTTATATATTCAACTATCGCAAGCCACAAGATCTATCCGGCATATCCCATATCCCATCCCATAGTCTTACAACACCCAGTGTTTAGATCCTTGATCCTTGGTACCATTTAAATAACCTTTAGGATAAAAATAATAAAAAATTCCAAAACTACTTTAATTAGTCATCATTTATTAATATTATCTTAAATCATTTCTTCACAATTGTTCTTGTAACCAATTTCCTAGGGCTTGTTTCACTCTAACTTGCGATGGGGGCCAGGAGTAGAGAGCCATATAAGCGTTCGCGAAAATGTAGGTCTCTGGCTCGGCAATCAGTTAATAAGACTGTGTTGGAGACCATCAACTCATGGTTTATTTCTGGATTTTATGGCCACCAGTACAGGACGAGCATGTGTAGAAGCGGAAAGAGCTTTAATGACTTCATATACTGAGCCTGTAAGTAGATTTACAAATAAGTAAGTTAAATAAAAACAACTACAGAGGCAAAAGCCTTCCTAATTTTAACAGAAATCTTTTCGGAAAGGGAACGTCCATTAATCACGTGAGACTCGATACGGGGGGAGGAGGTTCAAAAAAATTACGAATCATCACTATGGGGAGGTATAGTGAGATATCACGTGTATTTATATTTTCGTTGAACGCGCCATCTCTAAACGGAAAAGCGGCGCTTGATCTTACTTATCCGATTTTGCTATCATCCAGTTTGCATATATATTCTGAAACCTCAACATTAGACCGAAGACCCTTGCTATATTTCTTTCCGTCTGTCTCTTGGAATTATCCCAACACAAGAGGGCTTTGACAAATTTCCTTATGACCTGTATTGCCCTAGCCTAAGCAAGGATGATCAGCAGCTAGTGAAAAGGACGTGCCAGTCCAGAGTTCTATGTAGGTGAAATAGACACAATAGTTAAACAGTCGAAATGTTCATATATGATTCATGGGACAGGGAAAGGGTTAAATATATTCATTTACCAGTACATTATATGTTTTCACATGATTACGCCTTTCCATTATTATTCTTATGCCAGTCGAAAGCAACCTGCAACCTTAATGTCAGTCTGGACATTTTTATCACGGTACTTAACACTACATATATAAATTACATTATACCTTTACTGACAAATTATTATTTGTAATAAGTATACTTGGTACTGGTTGACAATTTGTAATAAGTATACTTGGTACCAAAAAACACACGTGATTTTGGATAAGGGAGGGGTTAGCCTAAAACCTCACCACGTATAACCATAGGGGGAAAGGGGTTAAAAATTTGTTAAAAACCATCACGTGATTATTGGACGACCCCAAAGGATGCAGACCTCTTCACGGCTGAATGGGCGGACACCATACGTCCACGAAATATTTATAATCTCTCAGACATATTCCTTACGATGTTGTTGTTCCATCGCCAAGCACGTGGTATAACCTTTTTCCTGCCTTACAACAAATTATCTTACACTTGACATACATATTACACTCGAAAAATATTACCTCTGTCTGGGGTAGTCGGGTAATAAAATGCCACTTGTGTTTTCAGTTCAACTCATTTCACTGTATCTGTCTTAATCAAATAATTTACTATAATAATTGGATTCCATTAATAAAATACATACATACGTAAACAATCACGCCTGTCAACCAGAGGGGTAGGCAGAGACTACAGACTTCAATTTGGCACGATCCTGACAAACCTCTCTCGCCTCCTCCACATTCATATACCTACGCATACGTGCTCATCGATTAAGGGTACTTCCAATTTGGTGCATTTTCAATATATCGCCAATTATATCACACAATTTCTCATCCTGTCACTCAGATTCAGCCCTAACATACTCCTTAGCGACCGCATTTCTACTGCATTTATTCTACTCTCGTGGTTCTACTGCCACACCCAACTCTCACTAAAGTATGTCAAAGTAGGGACTAACACAGCATTGTGAATTGCCATAAAATGCCATGTAATTCTATTAATGTGATTAAAATATTTATGTTACTTTATAGATCAACAAGAATACCGTAATGGAGCTTTTGGTTGAGTACGGCTTAGATCAGCAATCGGCAGAAGAGAAATGGATGAAACTTCACCCAAAACACTGTTCGGATGTCTCAAGTCCTGTATTTCCCCTACAATTATTTGAAGATTACTATTACGGATCTGAGAATAAAAATATTTTACAAGAAATTAAAAAGGTTAGAACGTATATAACAACCATCATGTAAAATTCATTGCTTTTAAACTTTATTAAGAAGTTGTGGTGTAATATTCCAAACAAGTTTTCTTAGTCTTACTATTTCTTTGTCGCAGTTGGACTTATCTTGTGTGACCTTGGTAAACTTATTCGTCAACAACTTCGAGCGTTTTGTCACGAAATACTGCTGTAGTGGACTTTGTCAAATTTAAACACTAAAAAGGGGAAGGTTATATTCGTGTGTGTTTGAGTTAGCTAAACCGTTACCAACACCAAAATATTTCTTTTCCAATAACTAAACCAAAACCTTACAATTTATTTATATAGTTGAAATAAATATCTTATATTATTCAAAACCTATTTTTAAGTGAGATGTTTTAAACATAATTTTATATATAAAATACTACATAACATTTTACGTAAAAATGCTTATTATGCATAATTATAAAGCCACGCAGTAGCTATAATATAGCTGTAGCACGAATGTGTCAACGCTGCCAGGGAAAGACTACGCTTTCACAGAATAACAACGTAAAATGGCATTTACTACTGTGTTTCGTATGGCGAGTGTAGAGAATTGGAGACCCATTTTACTGAAAACGAGGCACTCCATCTTAGTCCTCAACGCATCTACATTTTAAATCTTATTCGAAGATATAACAGATAGAAGATATAGCAGATGTTCATGAACCACAGCATCCACTTATCTGCTCATTTGTCTCATTTAAAAAAAAACACACATTTTGTTTGCATACTCCTTTTTAAATAACTATTTCAATTAACCATTTTATTTTATTTTTTTTTATTAAAAGATAAAATGCTTTCTCTTCTCAATACAGATTACAGAAAATACTGTGGACTTTCAAGAAAAAAAATATTTAGCTTGGAACAACAACGAAATAATAAAGCACGTGATGAAACATTCTTTTACGCACGATAAACAAACAGCTGGAACTAGGTTAAATATATCCAAAATTTTATCTGGTCCTAGACACAATTTTAAGCCACCAGCGAAGCATGAACTGGATTGCAGGTTAAATATATTTTTTGCAAATTAATATAATTTTGATCTTCATAGAGAATATTTTTTACTGAATAAGGAAATAATCATTATTATCGCAACCATTATTTTAAATAGAACTCTTCTATTGGCAAGTTATTTGGGCGAGATCAATGAAGTCGTACAACTCGTGAATGATGAAGGTATACATCCAGATGTAACTGATATGCAAGGCAACAGCGTTCTTATGTATGCTGTGGTAAATATGTACTTTTAATTAAATAACCAGTGGTTTTCTATAAAGCTTACTCACTTAAACATGGTGGTTCAGTGGTCTTTCTGTAACCGCAGTTTTCATCAAATTGGAGGAGGGGATAGGGGTTAAGTAGTTGATTTATTATCACTAGTTTGGTTGTGAAAGACTGATTATTTTGCAGTCTGGCCAAGGAAATAAGTTGCTATGTTTCTAAGATTTCTTTTTGGATCTATTTTTATCCAAATTTATCCAATTACAGTGTGGTGATCAGACTGAGATAATACACTTTCTAGTGGAGGCTGGCGCTGGTATAGACAATTATAATGATTCGTGCTGCACTGCTCTCGGCGTTGCTCTGATACGGTTTATTTGCGCCCGTAAAAACATTTCAGCCAACGATATGACACAAGGTTTGATACCCGAAACAAATTTGCCACGAAATCGTAAGATATCTTTCTTTTTTATGTATTGTTTTATATGATAGAAAATCCATTTACTGGCTTCATGGCATATTTTTTAAAATGGTAGGAGAGCCCAGCACGTTATTCTAATTTCAAAAGGCATACAACATATGAGCCAACTGTGCACATTATTAATAAGCATTTAACATATTTCCAAATTCGGATTTCCTGAGATAGCGTCATGAACACTCGCCCCGAATTTGACTGTGTGCATTGTATATTGTAGTAGTGAATTTAAATTTATTAAAATAAAAATATATGTTATAATATGATATCCTTCCAGCATCATTAGAAACGGTGTCCGAATGGAATTTGGTGAGAGATGTGTCTTCTAAAAACGTTCTAATGAAAAATTCTAGTAAAATTATAAAATCAATGAGCTCCAGAAAATTAAAGTCCTTGACGTCCCTCAAAGACATTCCACCACCTAAAATGGATTCTGACATTTTTGAAAAACTGGAACAAGATTCCATAAGCGAAAAAGAGAACATAAACAAAAGCATTGAATTGTTCATTGAAATCAATAATAAGTATGAGACAAAGACAGCTGAACTTTATTCAGCAAAAAGCACTAGAAATCCTATTTCATACATTTTTGAAGTTCAAAACATAACTAATGAGTTTGAAAGCATTGTTGAAGAGCCAAAGAAAAATTCAGACAAAAACCCTAAGAGAGTTAATTCGAAAGCTATAAAGGAAAGTGTTAAGCCAACGAACGGGATAAAGCGTCAAAGCAATGAGTACACAGAATCAAAAAATTATACCAACAGGTTAGTACTGTTAATACTGTAGGTACATTACCTATTTGCAATTAAAATCATAGTAGTTAAGGTTCACGATTGACATATCTTTAATAGGTATAAATTATGCAATAATGTTTTAATATATATAACTGTATATATTAATACACCATTGCTAAATTTATACTTATATTTAAATATATTTTTGTTTTATTAAGAACTGGAATCTTTCATTTTATGGCAACTGCATTTTACGAGAAGGGACGGGAAGTATGTACGAAAAAACTTTCCACATCCAGCCAGATGTATCCATCATACATAGAAATTATTGTACCTTATACATTTCAGTTGCGAGCAAATAATGTTGACTATAACGCAATTACTATCGGTTGGAGCAGATCCTCGTCTTGTGAGATGCCCACAACCTGCTTTGTTTATGGCAATAGCCTCAGGCTGTTCCAATTTGGTACAGCATTTGATTGATCATGGTGTGAACGTAAATGAAATTTGTTTTCATGTAAATATAATTTCACGTACTTATCATTTCTCATAATTTGTTTATTTGTTGTTGTGGGTACTAATTTATTGTAAACCATTTAGGTTCTAGGATATTTTCCATTAGATATAGCAATTTCCTATCAGCCGACGGTGGAAAATCTTGATGTAATCCGTATTTTATTAGCAAGCGGCGCTGACACTCAGCATCGACTGCCATTCAGTTCTTGTAACTCAATCGGTTCACTGAATGAAGGACCTACGCTTTTACACGTTGTGCTTGAAAAAAAATGTGAAAGTGAAGCAGATGAAGTGGTATTCATAATTGTTTAACATTTTATCTAATTTTAATTAACTTCCCAGTGGGAAGTTATTGTAATGGGTCCGATTTTGCGCATTGGAAATTTTAACATATCTCCACCTTTCAAGGTCTTTGGAGTCGAATGGTATGGTTTTTAAGAGGATGTCCGTGTGTGCACATGTACGTATGTATGTATTTATGTTCGGATTCAATTTTGGCCTCGTGTATCTGGAGAACAAAGAGTGATAATGACATAGGACCCGTGTCATTTAACGCATAATTATGTAACTTAGACCTCATTAAATTTTGAGCAAAAAAAGCGGTCGAGTCGTTTTTTGAGCCGAATAAAAAATTGTATAAATTATTAAAACATATTATATTTTTTTTTTTATTCTTTCGACTGGGAAGTTAGTCGTGTGGACCTTTCGGGTCGTCGCACCTAGACCGCTATTTTATTGTGTTCTGACAACAAAATCAGAAACACTAAACCAAACCGTGATGACACACTTTAAAAGTAGGTTTTTAAAGGTTTGTTGTATTCGTGAATTTCAAAAAGAATTTTTTTTACTAACGGTAGGATAATATTTCCTATACATTTTTATACCCGAAATAAATTTGCATAACATACAAAACATTTCCGTAACAAGTCACGTAATATAGAACTAAAATTACCAATTTGCAATTGGTTGGTTCTTTTTCGTAGAGAAAAATAAGAGGCTTGATGACCTCTCTCGAGAGCGGCCGGCCGTCCGGTGGTCGATTATGTAGGGAGGCCAATTGGTTGAAGTGCAGGTGTGGCCAACTGTCTGTTGTGTGGCACGGTCGAATAGTCCGAGTGACAATCGAGTCGCGAACTCTTAAAGATTTTCTATGTTCAGTTACCCGCTATTACGGCGTTCCGGACATATCGGCCGGCTCCTACGATGATCCTGAGTGTTTGATTTTGCAGGGCTTGCAGCCGTTTCCTATGTGTAGCACTGGTGAGCGCATACCAGGTCGGTGCTGCGTACGTTAGGCTTGATCGGATGTAGGTATTATAGATTGCCAGTTTCGTTCTTATTGGCAGCTTCGATGTCAGCGTTGGTCTGAGGAGTGCCCGCGCCGCTCTCACCTGGCGGATTGCATGCTCTACCTGGCTAGAGGTGCGCAGTGAGTAGTAGATGTAACATCAAAGGTATTTTATAGTGATTTTCCACTCTACATCCTGACCTCGGAGTTGGAGTGGTGGTGGCTTGTTCTTTCTTAAGCGGCTAGTCAATAGAACGACCGTCTTCCCCACGTTAACATCCATCCCCCACTGATCTAGCCATGGCGGCAGTCCAGCAATCGTTGCATTTTCATAGCAGCTATGTTTGCTCGACGAAAGGAGGTGAAGTACACGCTATCATCGGTGTATAGCGCCAGTTGGTAATCTTATTACCACTCTTGGAGATGATCTTTCAGTGTGGATATGTCGTTTGTGTATATCGCGTATAGGAGTTGTGATACACAACTACCTTGGGGTACACCAGGGAGAATAGGTGGTGTTACAGATGTTGCTTCTTCAACGTACACGTAGAACGACCGTCCCCGCAAAAATGACTCAATCAGTTGCACGATAGTAGCCTTTTATATAATTTCGCTATGTACGACAGCAATGTGATGGGACGATAACTAGCAGCGTGGCGCCTATCCTTTTCTAGTTTCGACAACACTATTATTCTCCCGAGTTTCCATTCACTGGGGAAGTTGCCAGTGCGTAGTAACTCATTGTAGAGTTGTGTTAGGCTGACTACAGCCTTCCTGGGCAGCTGTCTTAGGGCTGCGTTCGTGATTCCATCATCCCCCAAAGCTTTCCTGTCTTGGAGGCGTGCTATCACTCTTCCAGTTTCTGAGGGTGATATGAAGGCTCCCCCATCCGGTGGAGTAGGGGTTGTGATAGGTATTCCCTCATCCTCCCATTTTCGATTTCCTGGTGTCGTGATTCGGAGTTAGGTGCTGCCATATAAGGGGTAAACTGCCCCTCCAGATGCTCTGCTAGGATCTTTGCTTTTTCGGTGGCCTCGTAACATCGACTGCTCTACTTTTTAATAAGAGGGCAGACTGGGGTCTTAGTTGTCATAAGCTGCCGGTTCAGCTGGTGGAGCGACTGGTCTTGATCTCCTGCTTCATCGATGCATCGTTCCCATGCTTCTCCTCAGTGGGCCTTAACTGCATCCAACAGTTCTTCTTATAGGCAGTTTAGATTATGCTTGATTCGTGAGCATCGTGTTCGCGCCCGAATCTTTCACAGTTTGTGGGGATGTGTGTGGGTTGTTAGAGTCCTAACGCTTCGTAGTCACCCTTGTCAGCATCTTCGTATTGAATCTACCGGCGGGGTTTATGACTCTTGATCCTTACGCCATATATTTTGCATTTAGGTCTCCCACTATTAGAACGGGAGTGCCTTCTTGTGTGATAGATAGTCGAAGGGGCACAGCTTCGGCCGTAGTGGTCTGTAGGCAGCGTACACCCTGATCAATCCCCAGGCAACACTTATTTCACTGTCATATGGGACCGGCCACAAAAAAAAATTGGCTGAGTGCATCGACTGGCAGGTGCGTATAGTAACGTAAGCTAGTTCGCACTACGAAGAACGAAGACGAATTGCAAATTGGGCGCCTTACTAACGTACCCCTGAAGCTAAATTTACGATTAGAGAACCGTGCGCCTAAAGCAATTTCGACCTAATTTCCCTTTTTTTACTCAATATATTTATTTCCCGAAACAAACACATTATACAATTACATTTTACATAAAGTATAACTTAGCTACATTACAATAATATTCAAAACATTAACATCACAATAAACATAAATAAATGATTCAACAAAATATCACAATTTTACACGGTATTTTCAAGAGTCATAATTCCTAAAAATAATTATATTGATAATGCTAAAACATTTGCATAAATAAATATGAACATCAATGCTAACATAACAATTTTATTTAAAAATAATACAATTAAGCATTTTATATATCATTAAATTTCATATACTTATTTTTAATAACAATTCGTCATTTTTCCATTCCAATGTCACATAATCTTCGTTTTATTACCTTATTAAACGAAACTCACTCATACTTGTTACATCAATAAACATTAATTTTCAAAACAAAATTCTTCGCGAAACTCGACCCGCTTGATGGTATCAACATACACAAGTTGACAAACTATTCTCGCACGATTCTTAGTAGGCAATGTATGAATATATCTTTCTAACATTTATCATTATCTCTTAACACTTATCGCGTACCGTACGCTTAACATACGTACGCAAAGGCCTGTATTCATTTTGATTAGTGCGAGTGCAGGTGATTAGTAATTGCGGGTGATTAGTGCAGGTGTGTACTGTAAGTAGTGTCCAATTCTGTTTAGTGCCTGAGTTTAGTTAATTCAGTTGTTAGCCATTGACCAGCAAGTACTCTTTTTAATTTTCTTAACCTCTTGCGAATATGTAGATCTAAATTTTCTTATTTTAGTGTAAACTTCTTTACTTACGAACACATACTAGCCTACTCATAGCTTCACTTATACGTAGAAATGCTACATCTCGGGCTCCTTTAATTTTGCAGTTAGGGTATTTATTATTGTAAAGACATTCATTTTTTAGATACTCCTGCACATATTTATAGGTCTTCGGTCCACTTTGCCATTTTTGCAACACAGGCGAGCGTCCGACGCTAAACGCTAAACACTAGACACTGTTGTTCAGACGTCTTTAGTGAAGGACATACTGCTAATGAGGGAGAAGGGAGGACGCGCGGGACGTGTGTGATTAGAAGCGTGTTCTACTTTTTTTTGCGAGGAGACTGCGAGTGTCTCGGTCCCGTGCGTCCTCTCCTCCCCCTCACTCGCAGCATGTCTGCCAATAAACACATCTGGACAGCAGTGTTTAGCGTCGGACGCTCACTTGTGTTAGAAAAAATGGCAAAGTGGACCGAAAACATTACCTATATTTTTTTGCAGGAGTGTCTAAAAATGAATGTTTTTACAATATTAAATATCCTAACTGCAAAATTAAACGAGACCCAGATGTGGCTTTTCTACGTATACATATAAGTGAAGCTTTGAACATACCGGAGTTTGGAAGTAAAGAAGTTTATACTAAAGTAAGAAACTTAAGATCTACATATTCGCTAGAGGTTTAGAAAGTTAAACAGAGTACTTGCTGGTCAACTGCACACAAATCAAATTACTAAACACAGCCACTAAACAGAATTGGACACTACTTACACTACACACCTGCACTAATAACTAATAAAAGTGACTACAGGCCTTAACACACGAATATAAGTTATAACAAACAACAATGCATTTAATTCGTATTACGTAGCTCGTTTCTACGTAATGCATGAGACACTAAGTTAATTTAAAATATAATCTCAATAAATAATTGTACATTGAAATAAAAGACATTTTATTACATAGTAACTGATCATTTTAGCGAACATTACACCGCGTCACTAACCCGTCCCCCCGATGTCCGTTAAGGACATCGCTTGCCGATTCTATCACTCGCTCCTGCAGGATAAATTTGCTTTGTCAGACTTTTATCATTTATTCTTTCTACGTGTCCAAACCAAATAAATTTAATTTAATGTAACTATTTTTTTATGTACAGGTACGCCGACAAATTCTTGAACTTCTATTGAATTACAACTGTAATTCTATAGTACAATTTAAAGGACGATCGGCTATAGACATATCAATGACAAAGGGAGTTGATATATTTAATATATTTATTAAACATCCAAAAGTTAACCTCAATTCAATTATTAATCAATCCAATCAGAATATATTAACGAAAATGTTCTTTTTACCTTTTTTCAAGACTTATGAAAACAAGCAGCGTGTTGAAATTGTAAGTACTACCCATGCAGTTAAAGAATGGGACTGAAAATGACGTTGGCGTCGCCCTTATTCATCTCTCGCTCGCACACTGTTGCTATCTATACTCACACCTACCGGTAAAGACTGTATAAAAGTTATATCGCGATATGTGTTTTTCGTACGTTCTATAACTTCAGTCCAATTTGGAATCAATTATATCAAAATGGCGGAAACTAAGTACAAAAAAATATCAGTCTGGTTTCGCTAATCTGTGAGCTACGACGACATTCTGATAAGTTTTCTTTATAATTATTGTTGATTTTGTTGGTTAATATTTTTGTATAACATATTTACATCTACATAGAGACTAAAGAGTGGTAATACCAGGAGTGGTTTAGTATTAAATTTAATAAGAAAAACTATTGATAAGATAAAAAAATCCTCAATGAGCATCTTAAGTCTAAATAATGCCACATTAATATATTATTCCACCCAAGTCAATCCATTGCGGGTCGTTAGTTATAAATATAATTTTAAAATTAATGTACCTACTTGCGTGTACAATTGTTTTCAAATATTTTCCCATTCATAGAAATTTTCCAAATAACTGAATAACATAACGTTATTAGCTTGTTTGCGATATTGGTACTGTACATGTTGACGGTACGGGTCGCCATTTTTAATCCCATTATTTAACCTTACGGACTGTATTATATAATATAATAATACACTTTTTGAATAAAAGCTCAGTTAATCCGTAGACGTTACAAGGGTCTTACCGATTGTAGGTAGGATTTGCTTAAAATGTAACGCTTGGCAGATAGATTGTCAATCGCAATACCACATGTCCGACCTTTGATGCTGTTGTCCGACGCCGGACTAGAGTTTGACGCCTGGCGTAAGCGAGATAGCATACAGCCATTTTATTGGAAGCTATATCATTTTTTGGTACTTCCCATAGTTGCCTTCTACGACACCCACTAAACGAAATAGGGAGATGGATTCTGTTATGCCGACACCACGCGGTATTTACTTTATTCCTTTAATGATAGCTTTTAATTTTGAGTTATAAAATTTTTAAATTTTAAAATTATAATTTTTAAATTTATATTTTTAAATTAATATTTTCAAGTTAACAAATTTATTACGTTGTGGCGCTGACCCTTTAAAAGCTTCACAAAACGACGAAACACAGTTTGAAAACATTTTCGTATTCGCAAAGAAGACGCTTGATGAGTTAGAACATTTGGAAATTAAACAAAATAGTCCATCTGGTGAGTCTTTCAACAAAATATTTTAACATTTATAATAAACTCGTGCGACAGTTCAATTTTCCGTGGGACTTCGTCGGAGGAAATTGTAAAAATCAAGTATTTTACAGTTAAAATTCAAAATTTTGTGATTTTATAATCCCTGTTGCTAGGGCTGCCAACTACCATAAATGCCAACTGATAAAACTTCTGGTATCCTGTGCTATTGAAAGTATTAAGCAAAAAGAATTTATCAATGAAACATATAGGTACTTGACTTTCAACCCCACCTCCTTTCTTATTCTGGCTGAGGTTCGGAAACGGTAACATTAATGTGGATGAAATAAAAAAATGAATTTGGAATGTGTAGTATTAAGTTATTTATTGTGATCCGAAGAACATTAAAAAAGTTGTTTATAAGACAATGCAGCTCGTGAAGAAACATTGTATCAAGGACTTTAAAGCTATAACCTATTAACACACAATACGTCACACAGTATAACCAATAAATAATTTACGTTATCAATATTTTTATATTAGGTACAATTTTTTTTTACAAGTTTTTAGTTTTACCTCAGACATGTTGTTGATGGTTTAAGATGCATATGTTTGCGTAAGTGCTTACTCTTACAATGAGTCATGGTTTAACAAAGTTTATTTTCTTTAAAGAAATGCTTTATTTCACTTAGGATCAACTCATACGTACCACAATCACACCACATCGCAGCGACAAAATGTGGTCACGTGTGAATAGCGTCGCTGCGGCTTTTTGCAGTAGCGTTGGGGCTAAAATAAGAATAAAGGCTAAAATAAGCGACAAAATTTCGATGTTGTTGTGTTGTCGCTAGTAGCGCCCGCTAGTTCCGTGTGGTTCCGTAGTGTTTGCGTCGTGATTTCATTGTAGTCGATATCACTCACGCGTGGTAAATTTGGTACATGTAAATTGTACTATTCATTTTCAATACACAATGAGCCCGCCCCAGTGTTGTGGTTGTGGTTGTGGTACGTGTGGGTAAACCCCTAATAAATGAAGTCTTAAGGAGTTTGGTTGGAAATAAAGCATTGTTTCAACATCGTTATAGATGTGGGCGGGTTCTTACAATAAGTTAACGAAAGTTTCTGTAATTTCAAATGTACCCGATATTCAGTCTATTTTTATTTGTTGGTCTAAGATTATTACGGCGACATTATATTCTCCAATGTTCTTCAATAATATAAGTAATCATCATGCTTAAAACACAGGCAGTAATAAAGAAAACAAAGTTAAAAAGAATGGTAAAAACGTTGATGACAAAGTTGCTAAGCAGAAAACACTTGTTAGTGACATCGAAGACTATAAACAAACTGTGGAGCTTATGACTGATTGGGCACGGCTTTTACATATTCGATGGTTGCGAGCGAAATTTGTAAAGGAATCAATCAAAACTATCATCAAGTAAGAAACGCAGAGTATCTGATATACGATATTTTATATTTAGTCCAATTGACATTGTATTTTTTTTAAAACATTAAAATTAATACTTCTCAAAACAAGAAAGGGTGGAAAAGAAGGGGGTGTCTTGTTTTGAGAAGTATTAATTACAGGTATAATACAGGTAATATAATTACTGTGTATAATTACAGGTAATAAGGTACAACGCAATACTACGGCGCAGTGCTTTTTACATGGTAAAACTATATATGGCATCGAATGGGTCGGCTCGACCGGGGTGAGACTGAGACAACACTTTCTCAAATTACCAGCGTAAAACAGTAGAATAATGCAGTTGTGTTTCGTATAGTGAGTGTAGAGAACCTTACCGTAACCCTTCTTACTAGTAACACAGCATTCCATTTTAGTCCTCAGGAGTGACAATGCGTCTGGTCTGCGTTTTGATTCTGAATCGATGATAGATATATCCACATACTATCAGGTGGACTGTGTAGCCTAGAAGCTTTAACTTCTTCTACTATCTTATCATCAGCGTAAATCAAAAGCTACTGGACAAAGACCTCTCCCGTAGTAGGGAGGATTTGCCTTAATCGTCACTCTTAGGCTCGAATTATATGCGTCCGCACGACCGAGTGGTTTGGCCGCAGATTTCAGCGACAGCGGCCGCGTTGCTTTTCGATTTATTTAAAGCGGCCCGAGCGCTTTTGCACACTACACTTTCTCTAGTGTTTGAAGTGAATACACGTAACGATAAGATGAAAAACATCGATACCGATATCATTGCTTTGTTTTTAATATTAAAAAGAAGAAAATTGAGAAAGCAGCTACGATGGTGGATACATTCTATCAACAAATTGTATCCCAACCAATTCCACATCAGATACTAAAGAAGAAGACTATACGCGGATCGATTTTTTCATATTACCGAATGTCTGTAAACTTTTATACTGTAGACAATTTAGTTTTGGTTTTGCGAGAAAATGACTTAAAATTTCGAACCTACATTTCTTCAGAAGAAAAAATAACGATCACACTAAGGTAAGAAATACTATTTATTTCCTAATTTAATTATAACAGTACTTAGGTATAGTAATTATAGTATTAGGTTTGTGTAGAAGTGATTGTACATCTGGCAAATAAAAATCCATCAATTACTTGAAAAAAATGTTTTGTGTGTCTACTGTATCGTCTGTAACAGAGTCTATGTCTGAGTAATAGGAAAGTGCAGAAGCAGATTGACGGTCGGAATTGGACGAGGTAATAGGTGTTGGCACGTAGGTAGTTAATCTCGAGGTAATAAAATAAATAAAATAATTTTTAGTAGGCGATGTTATTGGCCTACTCGTAACAGAAGTGGAATACGAAGCAGATTTGAACGAGGCAATAGGTGTTGGTCCATAAGGCGATGTTGTTGGCGCAACAGGAGTTAAATATATGGAAGTCGTAATTGGTGTTGATGTGATAGTATGCGTGGACGTCAAAGCAGTGGCATACCCATATGATGCTGTTGTCAGCGTTATTATTGTCGTGGATGATCGTGGACATATTATTTGTGATTATGGACATAATTTCAATTTTAGTACGCATTTTTGTCAGTGGTGTTATGTTTTTAAGTGTTGGGACTAAAGACAACAAAAATAAGACGTCTTCGTCTTGTAATGTTCTTTCATCTAAAGAATTCCTTGTCCTTAGAATTTTGAACAGCGCTTTGGATTGATTCTTACGCTGTTCACGCTCTACGATTCTTTCTGGTTCTGCAGAATGTATTTCAAAATTTTGGATGTCAGTTGTAGAAAGACTAGAATTTTCTGCTGATATTACTTTCTAGAGTATTTTCCTCCAACGCAGGCCGTAAAAAATGTAGCAAATTAAAATATGTGTATGTTTTTTTTATTTTATCCCCTGCTGATCCGGACTTCACATTTTTAATGTTTTTTAAGGCTTTTCGATATTTGTGCTTAATATTTTCCATTTTTTTGTGATATCTTGCCATGTTAAAATATAAATGTGTTTAATTGTGTTGTTTTTCAGATTTTTGGCAACGGGAAACGATTTTATAACATTGGCGGAAGATTTAGAGATATTAGAGAATTAGAGAGATTTAGAGAAGTATAGGGCACACAACTGACATATAATGAGACTTTATCCCGGAAAGAAATTGAGTTACCCACAAAGAGCATTTAACTACCACCTTTGTGAAGCTCGGAGATATATAGAATGTTCACTCATAATACTAGCCAATAAATGGAGAATTTTTCATACGTCAATGATGGTTGGGCCGGAATTGGCTACTCTTTATCACAAAAACTGCATGCGTGCTACTACGTTAAAAGACGTGATAGATTTAGCTTTTCAGATACTGTGATTCCTTCTACAGACAGGGTGAGCTTAGGTACGACCCAGGCAGCACGGGAGGCACGAGATAAATTTGCTAATTACTTTTTTGCCAAATTTGCTAATTACTTGGCATGCAACCGACCTGAGGGTCGGTTGACGTGGCAAGATAAATATATTTAAGTACAAATTAAGTATTCGAATAATAAACTATATAATATCTTACCTTTGATTTATTTTTGTTGTTTATTTAATGACGACCAATTTGGTGTTCTTGACGAAGCTATTTCGTTCCAGTCATTGGATTTTTTACTCTGTTTATAATCAGGTCTTCTAACGTCCCAAATGGAAGGCTTTTCCTCTATTTTTTTAATAACGTACATGGTAGAGCCATGCTGCAGTTATATTAGTAGTATAGTTGTAGCACGAATGGGTCGGCTCGACCGGGGAAGGACCACGCTCTCACAGAATACCAGCGTGAAATAGTAGCTTAATACTGATGTGTTTCGTATGGTGAGTGTAGAGAACCGGAGACCCTTTTTACTGGAAACGAGGCATTCCATCTTATTCCTCACGGGTGACAACGCATCTGCATTTTGATTTGTAATCGAGGGTAGATGTAAATGTCTATGGGCCACAGCAACCACTTACCATCAGGTGGACTGTGTGCTCGTTTGTCATCTTATCCTATAAAAAAAACAATTCTTAAAGAGCGGCCGAGCCGCGCGACCGCGCGTCTCCGAACAGCAGCTGGCAAGCGGCCGCGTCGCTATTCAAATAATTCGTTACCTTCAGTTTCGTGCGATTTCGCGGTGTAGCGGTTGGGCCGCTCAGTCGAGCGGACGCATATAATTCGAGCCTTAGTAGGCGGATTGACCAATCGTCTTACCAGCAGCATCTTCCTGATAATAAAACTGCTGTTACCACCGCGCCCACCAGCCATGGCAGCTATAGCAACCCGAGTATTATGCGGTAACCTATGGGGAGGTCTATATTCAGCAGTAGTTTTTGATAGGCTATAATGATCTTGATGATGATGATTATAATTGTAATAGTTATTTTAGCGCTTACCGCTACCGCTATTTATGACGCTACTCCTAACGAACGACCTTTCGGTCTACCGACCCTCGCTACAATATATCGCGTAAGAAATCTGCAAGACGCCACCTACTGTACGAACGTACTATTATTTTTTCAACATCAATAAACTATTTTATGGAATTAGACACGGCAGACAATGATGAAAGTATTTTAATTTTCTTTATTCAGTATATTAGTTGCATTATATTAGAATTATTGTATTCTCATATATTATCTAATTAATAAAAATTACACCAATCATTTCGAACGCTCGGGAAGGTATCTACCTAATGTCGCCTCTACACGTTGGCCAACACAGTGGCGAATGTAGTGGCGAATATATTGGCCGAGAGTTGGTGACGGCGTCCACACGTTGGAAAGTCGTTCAGTTTACTTCGGTTCGGGCCAATGTGCGGACGAATTTATTTTATTTTAGACGACGGCTCCGTGGCGCAGTGGCTTGGCAATGAGTGGCTGTGCCAGGGGTTGCGGGTTTGAATCCCGCACGGAACAAGTATTTGTCTATCCTACAAATAATTGTTTCGGGTCTGGATGTGTGTCCTTGTGCAATTTATGTTTGTAAGCTTCCTCCGCAATACAGGAGAAAATCCAAGTGTGGGGGGTAACGTTTTTATAAAATAATTATAAAAGAATAGTGAATATTAATGGGGCTGTAGATAGATATACGATATACGATTAGCTTTATTTATTCTTTACATGCATCAGAAACTGGAATAAATAACATTAATTAGAACTTAACTTATTTTAAAGTTGAAGGAGTTATAATCGATTAGTCTATGTTTAAAAATTGGGTTTTGTTTTTAAAGTTTAGCAAAACATATACTTGCTTTTCTATCAGACATTTGATGTATATAAAAACACCTTATAATTTATTTGGTAATTTAATTACTTTTTGAGAAAGACAAAAACAATAGCAATAGATATAATTAACACTGACTTAATAATAGGTACTAATTATAACTTAGAACATAAATGAAAAACTCATGACAAGGAAAGTGGCTCAGGACCATGCTTTGCGGCATTCTTTGGAGGAGGATGTTCAGTAGTGGACTTGTGAAAAGCTGTAATGATGATGATGATTCGAAAACTTGCACGATTAAATTATAAGAAATCGACGCTTTTTTATATAGGATAGGGTAACAAACGAGCACACAGTTCACCTGATGGTAAGTGGTTGCTGTGGCCCACAGACATCTACATCTATCCTCGATAACGAATCAAAATGTAGATGCATTGTCACCCGTGAGCACTAAGATGAAATGCCTCGTTTCCGTTAAAAAGTGTCTCTGGTTCTCTACACTCACTATACGAAACACAGCATCATTAAGCTACTATATTACGCTAATATTCTGTGAGAGCGTGGTCCTTCCCCGGTTGAGCCGACCCATTCGTGCAACAACTATACTTCTAATATAACTGCATGGTTCTACCACGTATAAACGACGTGCTTCATTTTTTTTTTTCATTTTAAAATTGTTCTCGTAATAATCTGATTGTAAATAAATGTTCATTATTTTTTTATAAATAGCTTATCGATTTAAACAAATGTTTTAAAAATAATTAAATCGCGCTAATTAAAGTAGTAGGAATGTTTAAAGTTGAAATTGGCACTAAAAGGCTGGTAATTGGGTCATCCACCCTACAAAGCGTGAATATAAAATTTTAATCAGATGCGTGTAATCACTCTGGGAGCTTGTAGCAAACTAAACTCGCGGCCAACGTGTGGACGCGGCGACCAAACTCTGCCAACAATCCTTTGATCTTTTGTAAAAAACCGGCACCACACGGATCTCGCGCCAACTTGCGGGCCATCATTCCAATACATACCAATGAAGCCCAAACACCCCGTCTACACGTTGGCCAATGCTATTGGCCACTACATTCGCCACTGTGTTGGCCAACGTATAGAGGCGCCGTAACATGAGAAAATGAAGCATTGAAAATAGTGAGTTCGTTGTCCGTTGTGTCGGGGCATAGTACAACTGCAATGCCGCGCCGTCTTGGCCATAAAGCACCCAATCATTCATCAATCAAGAGAGCAATCATTGACCGAATCGATTCGAATGATTGTTTGTTGTTTGATATGTTTAATAATTTCGATGAGATCCGCATTGCCACCGCATACCAACATGTGACTTGTCTCTAAAACTTACTTCCTAATTTTTTCTTCATACTATTCTGGTTGATCAATAAGTTTTTGGAAATAGAATGCAACTCTGGGGTAAGTATATGGAAATGGTATTTTATTTTTTCCTTGGACTCGAAAAGGGCATCTACAGCACACATCACCCCATCGTCGCCGTCGTATTTTCTAACACGTAAATGCTTTTTCATGTGATTAAAAAGGTGAGAATCACTCGAAACTCGGTCCAAAGAACATGATGGATTCTGCATCAACTGAAACCTAGTAGTTCGGAGCGCCTGCAACATCAGATCGATGGGCAGGTGATAATGCCTATCATGTGAAATAGCACTCGAGCACATAATTTTCCTCGACGTTTGTTCTTTAGTACTTCGCTCAGTTTTTTGATCTCCGGTTATTATCTCTTCTTTACTTAAATAGTACATCATTATTATACCTTCCGCATCCCATAAGACAGAGGCCATCATTTTTCCAGCGCACGCCGACACCTTGAATCTCTTAGCTGGTGAGGAAAACGGTCTTTTACACACCTTGCTTTGATTTTCGTCTCCGGGTTAAAATGGTGAACCCATTTACGGTTACGAAACGAGCGCAAAAAGAATCTTTATCTTCTGCAATTATTGCTACATTTTGGTTTGAAATCTCAAATTTTGCTTTCTTTGGGCGTCTGTTAATTATTAGACAAATCTAGCGTGCAGCCACCTTTTTAATTTTAAGGTATGAGTTAAAATAAACTGAATTGACTCAAACGAAAACTTTAGAATCGCAGCTAAATAACGATTGTGGCCGCCCAAAGCGAGTGTCGTCATTACAGGCGGTTCTGCCGCGTTTAAATTTAATGCACTAGTATGCCACTGTATAATAAGACAAAGTATTGTCTGCCAAAGTAGACTACAGTTCTTCAAAAATACTTTTTGTAGAAATAAAATTCAGGCAGAAATATTTAATAACACGAAATTCGAGTTTCTCCATTATGCATACGAAGCAAATTCCCCCCAATGTGAATTTGAAAAAATAATTGGGCATAGTTTTTAATTTAGTTTTTTCTGACCTTGGTTACTAACGAATATAAGATTCGAAAAAAAAATAAAAAGCATTTTTATAACTCATTGATGGATGTCCTATTCCGAAAACTTATTGATCAACCTAATATTTTGAACTATTTTTCCGTAGATATAAACATCGTCATTGGAATATGATACTTCAAGAGATTGAACATAAAAAGAGTATTGCTTTATGGTTGACACCTCAAGCATGTCTGGATATTTGGACAACTTTAAAAACAACTAATAAAAAAGTTTACGACGATGAGAAAGTGTTGAAATATTTACTCTGCGCCGTGCTTTATTGCCGTCGACATATTACTGAAAATTCCTTTGTAACAAGAATATTGGCATCCGAGAAAATGAGCATAGAATCGGATGTAAATAATTTTCTTCGAGAATATAAGAGGGCTAAATTGGTACCCACAGAACTGAAATATGCCTCACCGGAACTTGGACCAAACTTTGTTAGTA